GCTTGGGCCGCCCGGGGCTGGTAGGTGGGCTGCTGGGGCGCGGCTTTGCCGGAGGAGGTGGTGCGGGTGTGCTCCGTGGGTGTTTTGCTGTCAGGAGATCGGCGTGATGTGCAGCTCGGTAGCCGGCTCCCCCTCTGTCTTCAGCTTCTTTGGAGTTTGTAGGTTCCAAGTGGGATTTGTCAGGAAGAGATGGATCCCGTGGAGTGTTGCCTGCGTGTTGCACAAGGGTTGTTGCCAGCCCCCATTCCCTCCTGGCATCAGTGCTTGGGCGCCGAAGCCCTTCCCGGCTGCCCTTCGGGAGGTGTCCCTGTGGCTGTGCTTCTGCTGAAGCCTCACGGCTTCAGGTACCCGAGAGGCAAATGCTGGAGCCGCTGTGGTAACCCCCAGAGAGTTGTCTCCTTTTGGTTACAGTTCCTGACAAAGGCCAGCTATGTATGTCTGAAATGGACTGAGTTGTGCATAAAAACTGAACAAGAAAACAGTTTTTCAGTGACTGTAAATAAAAAGCTGCTGTTAATGCTTTTATAGTCTCTAATAACCCACTTAGTTCACAGGCTTCTCTTAAGTCCTTAAATTCATCAACAATAGGTTTTTATTTTCTCAAGCTATTGATTTCAGTGTTTCCAGATACGACTTTTCTTCCTACTGTGTTCCGGATCAGCAGAGTGCAGAATTAATGATGCTGAATCCTAACAGAGTCTTGTACAACAGAAAGTGAGTTATTTGGATAAGAAGCAGCAACTTCAGCGATACTGATGCTGCTTTTGTGTGCTAATGTAACCTTCAGCACTTGTTCTCAACATCTTGGTTTTGAGCTCTCTGGATTGTAATTACATGAGTTACAGAAGTCACTGGGTCTCACATTTGCCTTTTTTTTTGAGAATTTTAAGTATGTCTACTTATGTTTTATGATGTTTACATATATTGAGGATAATGGTATGTTAAATCTAAAATAAATGTTTCTATGTGCAGAATGGAGACTGACTGCAATCCCATGGAGTTGCCCAATAATACAGCGTTCGTAGAGGATTCCGATTATAGAGACTTTGAAGGAACAGATGTGAAAGATATGAGACTAGAAGCCGAAGCTGTTGTGAATGATGTTCTGTTTGCTGTCAGCAACATGTTTGTCTCAAAAACCCTTCCCTGTGCAGAGGATGTGGCATATATCAATGTGGAAACCAGAGAAAGGAACAGATACTGCTTGGAGCTCACTGAAGCAGGACTCAGGGTAAATGGATTTGTTTACAATTTCTTAAGCTTCTATTTGGAACAATGATGATGTGCAAAAGGTACCTAGAAAAATATTTCTGTGACACTAGAGCAGCATACTTTTATGAAAGTCATTTCTACATGTTTTCTCCTAGAAAGTCAGACTTTAAATAGCTACTTCAAACAAAGCAAGAGGGGAAGTTAATGGAAAAAAACATACATTTATTCATTTGAGACACAAAAATTAATACAAAAGCAGCAATTTTTTTAATGGGCATGTCAGTCTTTGGGTTTCTTCGGTATCCAGGTAAATCAGTAATATAGCATGTACACAAAGCCATTTGTATTTTTTGTGCAAACACGCAGATGTCTTTCAAAGGTCATAAGGATAGATTTTGCTAATACTTTTTGAGTTTTAAGTAAAATATATTTGAAACTAAATACTGTTTTACCACTAAGCTCCATAGCAGAAAGAAGTTTGTGATTTAAATTCAGTATCTTTGTTCTCATGTTACTTACTGTTCTATCCTGACTGGCAAAGTTAAACATTGTGATCTCTGTTTTCCATTGCAAGGTGATCCTAACCACAGAAGTGTAATCAGTGTTTTCTTTATTGCAGGTAGTAGCTTATGATTTTGATCAGACTGATGACAGATTGCAAACTCCATACCATGAAACTGTCTACTCCTTATTGGACTCTCTCAGCCCTGCATATCGACAGGTGTTTGGAAATGCATTACTACAAAGATTAGAAGCTTTGAAGAAAGATAGTCAGTCATGATTTACCCCAGAAGTGAGGGAGGTTTAATGCTTGAAGGAATTTTTAGTATGAAGAACTGACATCTTTCTTACAAGGATAGCCACAGCCATCTTAAGCTTTATTTCTTGCATTAATACCTAAGTCATTCTAGCACTCCTCTATTAACATTTTGCTACTGTGGATTTGTATATATGACAATGCTATTAAAAGCTACTTTTGTATTCTTTTTTGTTGTAGGTGAGCAAGTAAGTTGCTTTTCACAACATTAAAAAAAATTTCTCTTTTCAAATTGTTACTACGCAACACTCCAAGAAAATGTATAGCAACTGAATGTTATATATACAAGTAGTAATTTTGTGTGTGTGCTTACTGATGATTTTCATATCTGGTTTTTAAAATAGAAGCTAGCTACTTGCTCTACACAATTAATGAAAAATAATTAGGAAGATTGCTGTTCTGCAAGTAAGAGAATTTCAGTTTTATTTGCTATACACAAATCTGTAAATTATCAACTTTGGTAACAAGAAAGATGGTTCTTAAACAGTTTGAGCATTGCTTATTTACTGACAGTATTTGTGTTTAAAGCAAGGCTCAGTATTTTTTCATCTGTCCTTGTCTACGGCAACCTCCAGGAAACTCCAAGTAATAAATGAAATGTACTGCTAATATATGAATGTATTGTCTGAATTGCAAATGAGTTAAGCACAGAATTAGGATGAAATGGGCTACATTTCCTGAATTTTATTATGTATGCTATATAGATATATGTATGCAAGGATTGGAAGGCATTTTAGCTGTTTACTATTTTGAATGTGTGTTTACATGATGTACAAGATCTACCCAAGAATATTTTTGCTTCATCTTTTACTTTCTATAATACAATACTTTGGTACTCCTGTTTTTCACAATTTCTCCCTCAATTGTACAGTGTCCTAAGAATGCTAACTAAGCACTGAAAGGTTATTGCATTGTATTGGTTTGAAACCAAAGGCTGTATGAAATTTGCTAAGACTAATACAAACTGATATAATTTTTATTTTCTATTTTAAAACTGTTACAAATGTCTTTATAAATCCATTGTTTGCTGTAACTTTTTAAGTATGTACTGAATGGTAGACTTTCTTAAAATTAATTGGTTAGAAATACCAGTACTGTTGAACTAACATTCTTTGATGTTCATAGTTTTTGCATTATTCTATTATTCAGTATTTGTGCATCTTTATTTATTTAAACAATCCTGATATTGTTCTACCATGCTTTTCTGATATGTACATTTAGTACATTTTTTGGAGCCACATTTAGGGATATATTGGTTCTCATAAAGTCACAAGATTCCAGTGATGTCAGTAGAACTGTATTGACTTCTACCTTCTAAGGATTAGTCATAGTAATGGAGAAGCTTAGTAGAGCTTTTGTAATAGCTTTGAGGTAATGATGTACAACTATTACTGACAACTCAAGTGTAGTTAGTGCTTCCATTTTCCAGAGCTTTGTGTTTATTTTATTATCTTTTTAGGTTGTAACTTCAGGTACTAATCTTCTGCCCTAGGGTAGGATTCCATGCTCTAAAACTTGTTCATAGACTCTCTTTTGCACACAGGTCTGTGGCACATGGTTAGTCCTCTGTGAGGAGAATGTACTTTACCAAATTTATATTTGAATATTTTCCCTTGCAACTAATTTACTTGTTCAATTTCAGTGACTAAAGCATTAAATAAATGCACCAGTGTGTTGTCATTTGTTGTGGTGTTTTTTTTTTTTGGGGGGGGGAGACACTACTGGAAAGGGAGGAGTAAAAGCCAAAGTCATCATGCCCCCGAAAAAATGTTAAATATCAGGTAGTTAAGTATTTTTAAACCTCTGGGTGCAGACTTGTGTCTGCTGAAGCTTTGTCATGAAAAAACAAGGAAGGAGGTTGTGAAGAGGGGCTAGGAAAGGAAGCATTAGAAATACCAGTGGAAAACGCCAAACTTAAATGTTACATTGCTGGGATTATTTTCTTGGATATCTTTAAAATGTTTTGGTGTTTTGCATGCTTATTGTGAACCTAAGCTGAGAAACGCTTCGAAAACAGGTGTTTTGTAGGTATTGCCTGAGGGAACTTCTGTTCTTTCCTTTAACGTACTGTAGTGTTAACTCAAAAAGGGGTAAGTTACATCATTCCACTGTATCTGGAAACGCTCTCCAGTCTCCATCCTCAGGCATTGCTGCCTGTATGGAGGGAGCTTCGCTGAAGCACTGACAAAGGAGAATTTCAGTCAGTCCCGTTCGCCTGTTAGTTGTTTTCATTCTCCAAAGCCCTGAATAGGTGCTGCATAGCCTAATAATGTATCTACGAAGTACCCAAAAAGCCTGAAAGCCTGCCTGCTGCCTGAAAGAATGTCTGATCACCTAATTAAAGCTATTTTAACCTCAGCAGTACTACACACATTTTGTCCTCGCTGGCGTCGAGAAGTCAAGAGTAAAGTCACTAACTTTTTGACTGCCGCTCTCCGTGTTCGTCCCACGCCAGGCTGAACTAGGCAGAAAGGAAGGACACACGTAGACACCACACGCGTTCACCGCGGCGCTCCTGCCGCCCCGCCCCGCCCC